CCGCGGGAGGAAGCGGCGGCGCGCCTGCTACGGAGGCCGGAAGGGACGCGCGCGGCCGCCGACGCTGACGTCGCGGGGCGGGAAGCGTCGAGAGGTCGTGCGGGCTAGAGCGGCGCCGGGGCGACAGACGGGCCTGCGGCGGACCGGCGCGGGAGGCGGGGAAGCGGGATGGGGAGCCCATCCCGAGAAGTGACTTAAATGGCCAAAGGACTAGAATAGAGTCCAAAGGAAGATGTCCACAGGCCCACCAACAGAGCACTCCCCCCAAATCCTGAGGAGCAGCATGTCCTCATCCCTGGGCAGGCCCCGACCAGAGTCAGATCTGGCCGCCCTGCTCTGGGACCCCACCTGCTGGGGGTGAAAAGCCAGCAGCCACTTCGCGATGAGTTGTTGAAACTCCACGCTCAGGCAGAAGCAACTCAGCATCCACGCGGAAGTGTGTTCACAGACACACTCAGCTGCGGTCATGAGCCTGAGAATGGAACCCACCAGGAGGAACTCAAGCCCATTGGGTGCCTATTCTGAGTGTTCAGCCAGAGGGGGATGTGGGCTCAGGCTGAGTGGCTGAGGTCTGGTTTCCAGGGACACAGCAGGCCCTGTGCTTGGTAGTTAAATGCTGAGAGGAGGTCGTGTGCCTGACTGCACGGCTTTGTGAATTGACTGAAAACCTCTGAATCCTGCACTTGAAGGGGCTGAGTTTTGTGGCATGTGAATTATATATCTCAGTAAGAAAAATGTCTACAAATTGCATGATAGAGAGATCAAAGTGGGAGGATGCCCTCAGAGACAAGAAACAGGTTGCAAATGTGAAAAGTGAGAAAGCTTGGCTGTAAGACCTGAGGGGATTAGTTGAAAGGGGATAAAACTGCACCACTGGGGTGTCCAGGGGCTGTCTGCAGGAGCCTGGGTACACCAGTGGCTGGGAACCTGGCGGGGGTCTGTGACCCTGGGCCCCAGTGGTTTGGGGGGCACATGGCAGGCTGCTCTGCACCCAAGCTATGGCATGCTGACTCCTCACCTTCACAGGCCACTTTCCAGTGGCCAGCCCTCAAGCACTGCCACACCTCTGGGCTGCAGGAGGAGAAGCCCAGACTGCTAAGGCTGCTTAAGTAGTCACAGTACCTTTGCCAGTGGGTCAAGGAGTAAGGCTCAGCCCCAACCAGCTGCCCCCCACCAACCTGTGACAACTCGCAATTCCCAGGACCTCCCATGCAGACAAGTGAGTCCACACACTTGAAGTGAGGGCAAGTCCCAAGTCAGTCTTTAATTATGAGGGAAGAATTATCATCTTTCCTGTTGTGCTGTGAGCTGCTTGCCTCTCTCCAGGGCTTCCTCGTACCTGCTCTGGGGGGGCTTGGGGGGGGGGGGGACGACAACTACCACCTGTCTTGAGCCAGTTTTCCAGGAGCCATCTCTAAAGGAACCGTCTCCTATTGAACCAACTCTGTGGACATTTCCCACCTCCACCCTGTCCTCCTCTTAGGCAAAGATAGACAGGGAGTTATCCAGTGCTGTGCTTCAATTTATCCTCTAAGACAATGGTCTTATTTGGGAAAATGTGGTGACCCAGGCCATGGGTACCTCTGCTTTGTGGATCACAGGCTTTTAAGGTGCTTAAAAACCTGCCTTCCATCTGCTCATCAATTTTTCAGACCCAAGGTCAAGTCAGCCACAACCCATCCTAGCCTCTGACCCAAGCCCCTGTCACTTCCCCACTGCCCTCTTAACAGGCCCTGATTCTACTAGCCCCACCTGCTCAGGGAAGGAAGATATCGCCCACCCCACATGCACCCATCATACCTCACATGCTTCACCCCCCTACAGCTGCCCACCACTGCCGTTGTCTGCCTCACACACACTTGACACCCACCTACTCCTAGACCGGTCACCCTGCTCCCAGGGGCTCCTGCACTGGCAGGTCCCAGGCTGCCTCACAGGCAACAGGTCCCGATGTGATGTCTATCCCTGGCCAGAGGAGCAGCTGCTACGACTCCAAGGAGTGCTCCCTTGGGGGCAGGTGCAGAGCCTCTCCTCCTGGTGTCAGGGTGCAGAGTCAGATGTGAACAGGCCAGGCCAAAGGCCAGGGGACAGACGGTGCCTACTCCTCCAGGGCCTGCATCCTGTTGTCCACCATGCTCCTAGGCCACACCAGACCACATACCTCCCAACAGGTGGTTTGGTGGACTCCCAACAGTTCATGGAGCCCCACTCACCTCAACAAAAGGTCAAGGAAACACCCCAGAGTGAGGCGCACAGAATAAATGACTTTTATTCAGTAAGAAAACGGTTTCTTTAAAAAAAAAAAATAGTGACTTGACAGGTTGAGCTGTAAGCACGTCACATGTGAGCCAGGATCGGATTCGTGGCAGGCTGTCCTTGTGACACATCTCAAAGTCTTGGGTCTCCCATCATGGCAAGGCTGTGCCCACAGCAGCAGGGGCACCACCCTCAGTCACTGTCTCCGTCCCCTTCACTGCCTTCTGGGAGCTCGGGGGCCTGCTGAAGCAGAGCAGATGTTAAGTGCAACTCCCAGTGTTCAGGTGTGGCCCTTGCAAGCTAGCCCCCACCACAGACCCCTGCTCCCAGGTAAATAAAGCCTCATCTTCTCAACTTGGTTCAAGAACTTAACGTGAGCTGGGAAGGCCAGGGACTGGGGATAACATGGGGGTCTTTGGGGGCTCCTTCAGCTCCCCAGAGGCTACAGTGACCGTAGAACAAAAAAGTGGAATGAACGGGCAAGAGCCAGTCCAAGGAGTTAGACAAGGGCTAGGTCCGGCTGTGTGGAGCCTGCAGCAGTAACCACCATGAACAGTCAGAGGGGGAGGGCAATAGAAAGCTCTGGGATGTCAGTTTCTCTTGAAAATGTGTGACCCCCCACCTCCAGCTGCACTGCAGCACCCTCCTTTAGAAGGAACGAGACACCCACTGCGCAGTCCCGCCAGCCCCTATTGCCTCTCTGACGTGTTGCCCGTCACCCTCTAATCTGACCACCTTTTCACTCATGTCCAACTCAACAGCCTTCTCTGCAGTATGTACTCCAGTGGGGAGCTCATCCACAGCAAACCCACGGGTCCAGCTTTGGGCCTTACTCCCCACAACCAGACAGTAAACACTCAGCTGCAGAGTGCTTTAGGTTCCAGTGCCTCGGTGCCCTGTGCTCCCCTTAAAACACAGCTGGCCATTCTTCACAGCAAGCTACACTGGGAGTAGGCCAGGCAGGCAGTGGGCTCCCACAGGGCAGTCACCCCACAGGCCAGGCCCACCTTCCCAGATGGAGGGGCCCTGGGGCTGGAAGAGACACCCTAAGGGAGGACACTAGGCAGCTGGGTGTGCCAGGCCCTGCTCAGTGTCTTGTGCTCTGCAGCAAGCTAGCCAGTAGGTCCATGCTGAGCACTCCCACCCCTCCACTGCACAGGCACCCAGGGCAAGAGGACCCTAGCTCGGTTCTTAAGGTATGGTGGCACCAGCAGGAGCAAGGGCTGGTACAGCTGCAGGGCTTACTAAGGGCCCCAGCCCCCCCGCCCCAGCAGCGCCCGCCTCAGCACCACCCACCTGAGCCCCCCGGTTGGAGTCAGCTGCCGCCAGGGCGGTGGCACTGAAGTCATGTGAGGGCAGGGTGCTGAGCCAGCGGGCCATGAGGCGCTCCTGGCGCTCAGTGCTCACGATGGTGGGATAGATGTGCTGCTCCTTGAAGGCGGCCGCACCCGCCTCCTCCTGTGCCCAGTCTAGTGGCTCGTGCAGCCCGTCATTGCCAAAGCGCTGGTTGTACTTCTCGAAGTGCACCCTCTCCAGCACCAGGCCCAGCCCTGGCGCTTTGGGCACATCCACCTTGGCCTCGCCCCAGCTGCGCTCCAGTGCGCTCTCGGGTGCATAGCCCTTGACAATGGCCACCAGCAGACCCACCATCTTCCGGATCTGGTGCGTCATGAAGCTCTGCCCTTTCACCTTGATTACCGCAAACTCCAGGCCCTCCCGCACGAAGGGCTCCTCACAGAACATGTCCAGGATGTAGCGCCGGGCACTGGGCTCACGGGGCCCCTTCTGTGAGGTAAAGTTGTGGAAGTTGTGGGTGCCCTTGTAGCAGGCCAGCAGTCGGTTCACCTGCCGCAGTGTCTCAGCACTCAGCCGGTAGGACTCGTCCTGCACATCATGGTCCTTGTGGGCGAAGGCAAAGGTGGGCAGCATGTAGAAGTAGGTCCTGGCATCGCACTTGTTCTTGGAGTTAAACCCGCCTGTGACCCTCCTCAGCCCTGGGGGAAAAAATCAAGTGAGGTGAGGCGCTGAGCCCAAGGCAACCCCAGCCAGCAGTCCATCTAGACGTGGGCCCACGGGAAGCAAGCCCCCAGCATGGTGCGGGCCAGCATCTGCTCCCAGTATGGTGATGGGAAGAGCAGGGCCCTCATGGGAGCCACAGAGGCTCCCCAAAGAGTCTGCAGGAGGGAACCGCACCTGAGGGGCAGGGCCAGCTCCTGCAGCCAGCAGCAGCCACAGCAGCACCACAGTGTCAGGTACCTGACACTGAAAAAGAAGCTAACAGGAAGAATGGGCCGCTCCACATGGAGGGATTCGATTTGTGAGGGAAGCAACAAGGCCTGTGCATGTTTGGCAGAAGCTCCTCAGAGCAGGAGTGTGTGCAAGGCACACTCTCAGGGCCAGCACCCATGTTTCCAGAGGACACTGCAGCTGTGACCCGGGGTGGCTGGGTCCATTCCCCAGAGTCTGACTGAACCCCAACCTTGACTTCCTGTTTAGACCTGAGCCCCTCTGGCCCTTGCCCTCAAGAGATGCCCCCACCAAAGCAGCAGCACTGACTGGCGGACCTGGGGGCAGAAGTGTGGCCTGAGAGCCTCCTGGGGTCAGCTGTTCCTCCAGCCTGCCTTGTCAGATCTGGGCTGTGGTATGTGCACACCTGCACCAGGTGTGTCTGTGCCCATGTGAGTTCAGTGTCTCTCCAAGTGCTGCGTCTGTGTCTCTCCAGCTGAGCAGGGCACAGGACTGGCCCCACCTTCCTGGGTCTTTAATGACATAAATGGTACTAACACTGGCAGTGGCTGGGAATGGGCCAGGGCCAGATAAACAGCTTCCTATGGAAGTGAGTGGTCAGAGGGACTGACCCCCAGCGGGCAGCCCAAGGAAAATGGAACTTATGCTGACTAGAGGATTCTGGGCAACAGCTGGCCACAAGCCACTGGTTACGTGTGACATGGGAGGCTCGGCACAGCTGTGCCCATGCTTGGCCACACTGAAGTCATGCAGGTGTCCCTGGACAGGCTCTGTGACAGCCACGCAAGGGCCCCTGCACAGCCATGAAGGGCCTTGGCAGTATGACAAGCCAGGATGAGGCTCTGAGAGAGAAGCCGGGCCAGGTGTTAGGCAGAGTCACGCTCCATTTACATAAAACCCGAGCACCATAATCCAACCGGGCCAGGCACAGGCCAGTGGCCACTGGTGAGGAGGCAAGGGCAGCCAGGGAGGGACAACTTTCTAAAAGAGAAAGCTGGCTGCATGAAGGGAAGATAAGGGCCTGCAGCCTGGCTCAGACTCATGTGGAAGAGCCAGAGTGCACAAGAGGGGAAGGCCCACGCCGTCCCAGGCCGGGGGTGACATACCAGGAGCAGCTGGCCGCTGGCCCTGCAGCACATCCTGCCCACTAGGCTGCCAGGGGCGACACCAAAGACTGCATGAGAGCATTCGTGGTCAAGTGCCAAGGTGCTCACTGCAGCCTGTGCATTCTACTTTTCCTAGTCTGTTTTTTCTTTTTGTAGAGAAGTCGGTTAAGGTGTTTTACCACCAGGCTCTATGGACAGTCTCTGCCAGCCCCAGACTCAGACCACAAAGTGCTCACAGAAACCAGCACACACGGCAGCCAACAGCCAACAGCCAAGGCGCTTAAACAGTGGAGGAAATACCAGCCCAAAAGAAAAGGGGAACAAGGGACAGGGGCTGAGGGCGAGCAGACGATGCCCATCGTGACAGCATCCAGTGTAGGTAAGTAACCCCAGAGTCCCTCACTAGGGCTAGCACCTCATGCACCACTCAGAAGGCTTACCTAGAATCCGGATATGAGATGGGAGGTGGCTGTTGATCTTTTCTAAGATGTCCTCTACCAGCCACACCTTCAGGGACACCACCTGGCCAGCCGCAGATACCCCCTGTGGAGGAAGCAGATGGGCAGTGGGTGCATAGCACCCCACAAGCACTGTCTAAACAGAGGGCCCCCACATGGATGTCCAGCAGCAGGGGCATTCAGAGAGAGAGTGGTCAGCCCTGCTCTGAGGGATCAGCCACTGTATTGGGTGAATTCCAGCAGCTACAAGGCTTAGCAACCTGAGCCAAATACTTTGCCACAAAGTGGGGGCCCGCCCCACACAGCAAGACTGACTCCTAAGGGACAAAAATGCAAGTCAGATGCTGGGAAATGAGGCAGCACCAGGACAGGCCACAGGTAAGTGGCAGCCAGGCTTCCCAGGGAGGTGCAAGGACTTGGCACTTGCCCCTCCTCACTGGCAGACACCCCTTTTCTCGAGGCAAGAGTGTGACACGTCTCAGGGTGGGTACAGCAATTCCCAAGGGGACAAGGAGGCCAGGGGACAGTGTAAATGTGCCAGGGGCAGCAGCTGGGGGAATGCCCCAATAATGCCAGTCTGCCTGCTTACCCAGAGGCTAGGGTGTAAGTGTTGGGTGTTATGTTGTAGGTTTTCTATCTCTAGGTTCTCTGGATTTTAAGAAAAACTGGTTAGAACAAAATCGTCTCTGATAACAGTGCGTACAAAATACACACAGGGACCACGGTTCTCTTTGTTAGTATGGGCGAACATTTGCTTTTCTTCTTCCCTGAGAACCAGCAGGAACCATAAATGCAAGAGCCAAGAACTGAAGCGTGGAGCACCAAGAGCAGGGTGCTGGCCCATGCTTTGAGCCCGACCATGACTGCCTGCCATACCTGGCCAGCGGGCTACCTGTCCACGGGACCTGTGTGGGGAGGCCAGGATTCAGGTCTCTTTGAAAGTAAGAGTTCCAGGCCCTGACCTGCCAGAAGCTTTATCCAGGGAAGAACACTTCTCAGTGTTGGGGCAGCCCCTGCCAGTCCAGGCCCCAACTTGGGGAACAACCTCCCTTCCACAGTGACTGAAGTTGGTACGCCAGCGAGCCAGAGAGTGGGGCTCCCACTGGAGACTCTGAGCCACCACCACTCTGACTCCTGAGCCCACAGATATGGCCCATGCAAGGGCAAAGCCCCCACATAGAAATGTAAAGGGCCCACCAGCCCCCTTCCATGGTGGCCCTGCAAGACACTGGGAGCTGCAGGTGTCACGAACTCCACCCAGCCTTGGCCACCTGACATGGCCAGCAGAGCCTGAAATGGGCTGCACACACTGCTTTGAAGCCACCAGCCTGAGGGTCCTGAATCAGAGGAATGACCATGGACAAAGGCGACTGAGGAGAGCAGCCCTGTGTGGCATGGCACTGCTCTGTGAGACTGGACTTGGGTGAGGTAGGCACCGGCCAGCCCAAGCCGGGCCTCTGACTTGGGCAGATAGATGTGGGGCAAGCAGCACCCGGGCCTACCTTGTCCGTACGAGCACACCGCTGGAAGGACATCTTCCTCATGTCCACACCGTGGTTCTCAGGGATGCAGCCTGCCCGCACAAGGGCTGACACCAAGTCATCTTCGATGGTCTTGAATTGCGAGGACCCTATATTCCTCTGATGAAAAGACAAGTAAACATCCTCTTACTGTGCCACCACCTCACACTAGACAGGCAACACCGTCCAAGGGAAAACCCGCATCTCATCCCACCACGTGAGGAGGGGCGCCACCAAGGGCCCCACTTTGGAAACCCCACCTGGACAACCAGAAATAGCCATAAGTGAATGTGAGGACATAGAGCCCAATGTTCCCACCCACCTGCCTTGTCACCTCACTGTCAGACTACAATGTCATAGGATCACTATACTGACCATTCTTGGGAAACCCCCACACAGGGATCTGAGGGCCTGGGAGAGAGGCCCACCAAGTCCACCTAGTGTCCCCTGCGCTGACACTCCTCAGGTGATCAGAACCATGTTAGCAGCAAGAGTCAGACCAATGGGGTGCTGCCAATGCTACACTCGGTTCCCTGATGAGGAAACAGGTCAACATAAGAACAAGCAAGAGTGCCTGTTCTCAACAGCAGCCCCAGCCAGGCACTTCAGTCACCCCCAGGGCCCTCCAATGGCCTGGATCAGCACCACCTTTAGGTGCTGTCTTCATACACCAGTGTGTGACTGTCCTCTGAGGAAGCAAAGAGGAGGATGCCTCTGGTCACTCCTGCCACCCAAGCTGCTGCAGAGCCTGATGGGGGGCAGGGGTGGGTACCACATTACAATAGTGCATTCATCACAGCAGTGACTAAGTTTACAGTATAGGGACCCCAAGTCTGGCCTCTTGGATCAGTTCTAGAAAAGAATCCAATCAGGCCTTCCAAAGGGTGCCAGCTTGCCTAGAGCTGAACAGGGGGACAGGAAATTCTTCTCAGGGCCTCTTGGCAGTAGGCTCTATGATCACCTGCCTGGCCTGAAAGTGATCATAGCTGTGACTGCCCTGGGACAGCGGTATTTGGGGCACACCCTCTCCCACCACCACACACCTATGACCATGCTGCCCAGCCTGGCACAGGAAAGGAGCCCAGGCCTGTGTGCTAGGGAGCAGGACGACCACTGGCACAGCTGAGGAGAAACCTGTGCCACAGCCCCTGACCTGGGCCCACAGAACCACCTGACTCAGTGGCACCATGTTAGCAGTCCTCACCTGCATGCCGTGGTAGCCCTTGCCAGAGTAGGCCATGAGCAGCACCACCTTGCGCTTGGGCAGCTTGGGGTGCTGTTCCCCTTCACTCTTGAGCTTCTTGGCCACCTGCTCCGTCTCCTCCCAGGTCCGGGCCCCAGGCCAGCTCCGGGCCTTGCGAGCCTGCTCTGGTGGCCCACCCGTAGGGGCAGGAGTAGGGGTGGGGGCAGTCCCGGCCATGCGGGGACCCCTGAAGATAGGCATGTGTGAGCCAGAGCCTGGGCTGCCCCGGTCCCACCCCGGAGCAGCAGTGATATTACCAGAAGTGGTGCCGTCTGGGGCACGGGGTCCACGCTTCGCAGGCGCTCCGCAGGGCCCCGGTTGCAGCCCGCAGATGCCACATGGGTCCCACCTGGGCCCTGAAAACTGACTTCTCCCGATACACGTGCCCCTTGAACGCTGACTCCTCTGGGATCCCCCAAGCCCTGCGCCTCCTTAACTCCGCTTTACCTGGGGACCCCACGCTCCCCGAAAGCTGACCTACCCGGGGACCCCGGTGCTATGAACGTTGACCTTCCCCGTGACCCCCGAGCCCTGAGCCTGCAGAAGTGTGTCTCACTCCGAACCCCCGCTGAAGGCTGTCTTCCCCCAGGACCACGGTGCCCCCTGAACGCTGACCTTCCCAGGAAACCCCGTGCCCCCAGAATGCTGCCCAACCCCGATCCCCAATGCTCAGCCCCGCTCCTCCTAAACCCTGACCTCCCCAGAGACCTACCGACGCGCAAACCCCGCCTAACAACCGAGGTCCCCAGACACCTAGGCTGACCTCTGACCTCCCCAGTCTCTGCAGCTTGCCCCTTGTCCTCCCGCCCCGCCCGACCGGCTTTCCCTCGACAGTCAGGAAGACCCGGTCCACCCCCACCCGACCAGAGGGACGCGCCCCCCACCCGGCCCCACTCACGGCGCGGCGGACTGAGACAGAGCCACACCACGTGGACGAAGGCGGAAGTGAGCGCGGCGTACGGCGGCCGCGCGTGGACAAAAGTCCTTCTGGATTGACGGGTTGGCAGTGGGCGGAGCTTCCCGTAGACTCCAAGGCGAGTCTGCGCCTGCGCCAACTCCTAGCACACATTGCTGCTGGGTGGACGGTCCTAGAGCACGGAGGGACCTGAGGACCCACAGCAACAGCTTGGGACCTGAGGCGCTTTGGCAGACTTTGCATCTCACCGGTTGGCACCGGGTGCTGCTTTACCCTCACAGCAAGGCTGAGCTCCCCCATGCTTCCGGAAACCATGCACCCACTGGGCTGGGGAAGGGAGGTGGGTCCAGGAACTGGCCTGAGACTGCATGGATAGTCTGCTGAACAGGCAGGCCGTCTTGACTAATGACTGACAAGTCTACAGTGTGTGAGCCCGGGGAATGCGGTGGAGGCAGGGCTGTGGACCAGCTGGGATCATGGATGAGGCCAGCGGGGCTGGAAGCCTGGGTCTGCTGTTGCCTCTGCAAGAACTGCTCCATCTTCAGCCCAGTGTAAAGTCCAGCAGCAGCTCAGCACATTCACTCACTGCCCAGGTCTTGCTCCTCCATCGGCTGCCGGGCAGCCGGGCATACCTTGGCCAGGGTCCACCTGACACTCCAGGCCTAACATCTATTTCAAAGTCTGTACTTGCCTATTAGCTTCAGCTCCTGGCTGAAACATGATTTCTGTAAGGGCTTCTGTGGAGTCACCTACCAGCAGGCGGGCTCTGCTTACCTGTCTAGAATAGTTTGGATCAGCATAGATAGAGCAGCTCTGCCCAGGCCAAGTAATCAGGTTGCTAGTCGTTATCTATTGGTTCCTAACCTTTTAATGGCCATCACATGATGGCCACCCTGCCAGGATAGAATGGGCCCTCCAGAAGCAGGAGTTTGATAAAGCCCAACTTCAAAACAGTATCATCCAAAGAAGTTATTCAGAGCAAGCTCAAACCACAGCTTTGTCCAAGGTAAGCTTTCAGAACAGGGGCCTGAAACCTAAGGAGCCAGCACATAGTAACATCCCTGTCACTTTCAAGGGCCCGCATGTATGGGAGAGGTGCCTGCCTGCTGAGAGGGTGGCAGATGGTGGAGAAATAAGCCAGGAAAATGAGTAGCGTCTCAGGAGCCTGCAAGCAAGGGAGTCCCTTATCTACTGTTCCCACCGCCTTCCCCCTTGGGCTCCAGGCTTCAGGGGTAGGACTTGGTCTCCAGCAGTGAGATGGGAGTCTGAGAATGTGAGAAGTTGCCTCTCTATAGCCTTGGGCCAACAGTGCAGGCATTGGGTGGCTGCTGCAGAGGGGAGATAGAAGGTTACCCTGTACTCAGCAGCTTTATGAATTGAGGCCACTCCCCAGTGAGACACTGAATCCCACAGAACGAACGGTCTGTGCTCATCCCCATATGACCAAAACAGACCCCAGGCCACAGCCTAGTGCCAGCCAGCCAGCCAGCAGGCCACCCACAAGGCCCTGCAAGGCATAAAGTCAGCATTTGACAGGTCAGGACCACCAGGTGATGATGGGAAGGCTAATGTCTGGGGCTGCTCCCCGCAGAGGTGCCACATCACACACCCTCCCCCTTCTCAGCATTTCCCCCTGGAGAGTAAACTGAAGCCCAGGGTTTGGGACAGGCCCCAGGAGCCAGAAGTTGTATTCCCCAGGGAGAAGCCCTGGGGCCTGGGCACGGTGAAACATGAGGTGCTTGGAAGGTAGGAGCCAGCCCCTTCCAGACCAGTCCCATGGGGGCTACCTGCCCCATCCATACAGCCACTTCATTCAAGATGGCTGAAATGGAGGAACGACCAGGACATCCACCAACTCCAGGAGCAGCTGTTAACTGCATTCAACACAAGCAGAAAGTCCTTGCCCATGAGGGGCTTGGAGGGAACACAGAGGGAGCCCTTGGAGGAAGAAGCTAGGCAGTCTGAGGGGCCCACCATGAGGGTCCCGCACTGGAGAGAACAGGCACAGCTGTGGACTTCTGATGACCAGGACTAGCGGCACTCCATGGTGGGCAGGACTCAAAGCCCTGCCCCATGTAGGTTTTCTGGACCCAAGGCAGCTCTCCAAGGACTCAGGGACAGCAACATGATGACTGGGCCCCCTGGCATGTTACTGAGGGACTAAGCACAGGTGGGAGGCAACCCAGGTCTCCAGCACTGCCTTCTGTGGCTTTTCGTGATTTAACTTAACAAAATAATGTAGTTTAAAAAGTACAAACCAGTTCTCCCTGGTGGCGCAGCGGGTTAAAGCACAGCACTGAGAAGCTAAAGCCATTTCCCATGAGTTCAATTCCTGCCTGCCCTGGAGGTGACCACATGGTGTGGCAGACCTCTCCTGACCCACCCGCTGCTCCCCTCAGCAGTGTACTTCGTCGATCTGCCTGTTCTGTTCCCCACTTTGTCTCTGGTGAAGCCTCTCACCACCCCTGAGCCTCTGGCCTGTACCCCAGTTCTGTATGCACAAATAAATAAATCTTAAAAAAAAAAAAAAAAAAAAACTTTAAAAAGTACAAACCTATCCAATAAAGAGAAAACCCCAATACAGAACTGGCCACGGGCTGAGAACAGGCAGTGGCATGTCCCCGAGAACATGTCCCCGGGGCATGTGGGGACACCTACATCAGGGCAGTGCAGGGCACCAAAGCCTCCGTGGGTTAGTGGAGAGTTGCCACTGACTTGTATTTGTGTCCAGGGGCACCCAAAGGCCCTTCCCAGCAAGGAAAGGCCCAGGGCACCCCAGACAACACCCAGTCTCACCCTGGGTATCTGCCTCCCCCTTTGCTGAGCCCCAGCAGGGGCACCGAACCAGCCAAGGATGCCCACCCAGGAGGAAGCAAGAGACACTGGACAAACCCTACCGGGAACACGGCTCAGCGCCGGGTTTATTTCCTGAAGCCGTGTCACAGTCAGCATGGGAAAGACGGAGCCACATGGCGTTTCTTTGAAGTGGACTGTGGTAGCATGGGCAACCTGGGGCCCAGCCACCCCTGGCACACAATTAGAGGCCAGGAGGCACAGAAGGCCCCTTGGTGGCACCAGCCTCCCAAGAGCACTGCTTCCGGCCTGACCTAAAGTGATAAATACTAGCTGGCTCTGAGGCCAAGTGGTCGGGATCAAACAGCTTCCTGTGTCCTGCAGCATCTGTGGGGCTGCGCAGATCAGGGAAGGCTGCTCCAGGACACCTGCTGACCCATGGTGGCAGCCCGGAGGGGATGGACATCAGCAGTGGTGTATGTAACCGGGAGCTCACGCTAAACATCCCCTTGCCTGCCTGCCACAAACAGGGAGTTAGTTGCCACACACCAGTTCCTAGCACCCCCATGTCCTGCCCGCCTTTCCCCAACTAAACACCCTAAACACCAGCTGTTCTCTTCTTTAAAAAAAGAAGTTACAAAAAATAAGACACATTTGCGGAGCAGCGTGTGTGGGAAGCTTCTCCCAGGCAGAGCAGGGCGTCCCATCCCTGCACACATGTCCACACTGAGGTGTCTGCGCCAGTGGCTGGGCCAGGGTGGCTAGTCAAGCCCACCATAAAGTGCTGGGTGATCACAAAGCGGAGGGTGGTCTCAGCAGAGCCTCTTCCTGGGCAGAGCCACAACGGAGCTGACGGCTTTGGCTTGAGTGGGCTCTGGCACAGGCTCTGGCAGGGCTGGGGGTGCCTGAGGCCCCAGCTGCTGGGGGGAAGGGGACGTTTTGAGTCCTGGTGGGAGCTGACCCATCAGCCAGGCTGGGACTGGCCAGAGTTGAGGGTCTGTGAGGACCCCCATGACCTGGCGGCATCCCTCGTGTCTCCCAGGCTGCTGCTGAGCTGAGGTGGGTGGCACACTTCATGCCAGCGAGCAGTGTCCAGGCCACAGGCTCATCCCCAAGTCAACCAGAAGTCCCAGGTCACCCTTGGGATTGGCAGAGTCTGGCCTCAGGTGTGGCACCCAGGCCTCCAGGGTCAGGCACAGATGCCGGTAAGCAGGGCCGAGAGTCTCCTCTCAATGCACAGCTTGCCTGCGGAAGGGAGGGGCATGAGTGGGCAGCACCACCCTTCCCACCCCCCCCCCACTCCCCACCCCGGGGCGGCACTCACACTTGGCGATGTTCTCCACATCCGCCTGGTCCGTGAGGATCTGCTGTAGCCCCTCCATGAGCAGCAGCGCCTTGTGGTAGCGCTGGACACAGTCCTCCCGGCGGTGGAACATTTCATCCAGTGCGGCCGACTGTACCTGTGCAGACAAGGGGGCTCTGGGTGAGGGTGGGTAGTGCCCTGACAGCGTGGCCCTGGTCACCATGAGTGCCACACCCTTACAGCCCTACCAACACATGCAAGTAGTATCTTAGCCTATGGGGGTTGAGGGGGGAGAGGGCAGGGTTTGGGAGTGGGCAGGGCGGGGTTGTGGCAGGAGAGGGCAGGGTTTGGGAGTGGGCAGGGCGGGGTTGTGGCAGGAGGGTCCTAAGCCAGGAATAGTGCTGGATCAATCTTCTGCTGAGAGGGTCAGTGCCAGGCTTTTGACTCTATAGCTGGGGATTCCAAGTCCGGGGCAAAGTGGCTAGACACAACCCCCAGGCTGTTGCCCAGGGCCAGGCAAGCATCCAAGCCTTGCTATCATGGGGCAGGAGGCAGTGAGCTGTGGGTGGGTCCTTGCCCTAGGAGGGATGGCCACGTCAGGTGGCAAACAGCACTGGTTTGGCCCTAGGCTGCCTACCGTCTGCACCGCGTGGCTGAAGATGAGTTTCTCAGCAGTGACACTCTGGATGCGGTCGAGAAGCCGCTGCTTGTCCAGGAGGAAGCGCTGCAGCCGCAGGCTCAGGCCTTGGCAGGAGAGCACGCTGGCCTTGTACAGTTCATTCAGCTTCCTCACCACTGCAGGCACAGCTGGTCAGCACTTCGGAACTAGTGAGCCCAGCATACCCAGAATCCCCGGGCTCCCCACCCCGCCCCACTCCAAGAGCATAGATAGCTCCCTGTCCTTCCAGCCACCTCCCAGAGCTCCCTGCCTCACCCTGCTTCACGGTAGATGACAGGCAGAGCCGACCAGCCCGGATCTGCTCGATGGCTGTCTGCAGCCCGGCAGAGAGCAGCTCAGCCACCTTCAGGTACAGCACCAGCTGCTCTGCAAAGCTGCAGGGCAGGGGACCCGTGAGTGAACACAGAGGCCTTGCCACCCCCACTCAGGCCCACAATCCCATCCCAGCACCCCCACTCAGGCCCACGCCTGCTGCCTGGTCCTGGGCACCCACCCCCACTCGCGGCTCAGCAGGCTGATCTGGTCGGCCACCACACTCTCCTGCAATGGGAAATCAGGCCCTCCAGCTGCCTCACTGGCACTGCCCTTGAGGGCGGCAATCTCCAGGACGTGTTGGACGAAGACGAGCGTGAAGCGCAGGCTGTGCAGGGCGTCCGTGTGCTCTTGCTGGAGGGTAGGGCAGTCAGTGGGGCTCGGCCATCTGCCAGACCCGCCTTGCCGCCCCCAGCCCCCCAGCCCTCACCTCCATGAGGGTCTCCTCAGGGAGGTCAGGGGCCTCAAAGGTCACAGCCCCTTCCAGGTTGGCAGCCATGGGGTCAGCAAAGCCGCGGCAGTGTCCAGGCGCAGGGACCTCAGGGGCCGTCTCACCGCAGGCCATGGATGCCAGGTGTCGGGTGGAGGAGGAGCCGGCTGAGCTGAGGGAGCTGGAAGAGCCCACTTCGGGGGCGGGAAGCACTGTCTGGACTCACCTGCCACTTCCTGACATTCTTCTTCCCCTGATAGCTCTGCCTCAACTTACGTCCTGCTCCCCCTAATCTGTGTAGGACCACATAGTCCAGCCCAACACCTAACAGGACCCTCCTGGCATTCACCACTGGCAGTAGGACCCCAGTCTAGAGGCCAGAGCAGAAAGGGCTGTCTACCCAGGCACTTCTACCCGCTACAGAGGCCCCAGAGGCTGCTGACCCAGGCACTGCTGCAACCCAGGGTGTCCGGAGAAGACGATGAGCCCCGAGGCCTCACCTGAGAACATCCTGGCACGGGGTCCCTGGGGTGGCGTGGTTCCACTCGGGGGTGAGCCCACAGTGAACACAACAGGGGCAGGGCTGCTGGCACCCCCAGCTCGGGCTCCTGGGTGCAAGCTCCCTCCAAAGCCGGTAGAGGGTGCTGGAAGAGGGGGCAAAAGGGGCTCAGGCACACTCCCTGGGCCTGAGCCCACAGGCACCCACCCTTGGGCACACCGCCTGCCCAGCATACCGATCTCCATGGGCTTCTCCTGCAGGCTGTCTGTGCTGCCGGAGCCAGGGGCCTGCGTCCCAAATGCAGCCTTAAGGAGGAGGTCTGTGAGGCGGCCAGTGCTGAGTGACCTACAGGGCAAGAGATCATTGAGCTCTCTGGGGCCAATGGACCCAGCCCAGAACTTGAGGCCCCATAAGCCACACCACACCCACCCACCTGCCAAAGGGGCCCCTGGTATCCTCCGCAGGCCGCAGGCCCGGGCCCAGCTGCTGCCCCTGGAGGGGCCCCGCCTCCGACAGGTCTGGCAACGTCCGGTTCCGAGGTGGTGTCATGACCACACCCTGCCGGGCCAGGAGGGTCAGCAGGTTCTGGGAGCTGGGGGTCTTGGGGAAGTCGAAGGCAGGGAGAGCCTAGAAGGAGCAAGTTGGTGCTGAGAAAAGCCAGTACAGGACACTGACCTGGTCCTCCTGGCATAGGCTGGCGCCAGCCCTCAGCACTCAGATGCCACAGGAGGCAGCCAGCTCGGCCTTCTCCAGGAATGTCCCCCTTAACCCCCACACCTAGCTCAGGAAGCCATACTAGGTCCCATACCTTGGTGGGGGAGCCCAAGATGGGGGGCAGGGGGTTCCGTTGCAGGAAGTCAGGCAGCTTGGGTGAGCCTCGCAGTGGCCGGCAGGACTGCAGTCCAGGGGCCAGCTGGGGTGGACTGGCCTGCGGGTGGCCGAATGCTGTTCCCAGGGGATCTGTGGGTGGCTTGGGCAGCTTGGGACGGATGACGTGCAGATCAGACAGGTTGGGGGCACTGTGCAGACGGCAGCCCAGACCAGTGGAATGGGGGTGGTACTCGGGCATGGAGGAGCCTAGGTGGGCAGGGCCGGTCAGGGTGACTTTCAGCCTGTACTACAGGCCAATCCAGCCCACCCATCTATCCATATCGCATTCATCCTCCAGGACCCTGTGCTGGGGATAGGCGGAGGAGCTACAACCCTGCCCAAGGTCACAGCACTGCTTAGGACCTCCCAAAGCCACCCCGCCATGGTCAGAGGACCCCCCCACCCCTAGTCAGGTGAGAAAGCAGCCACCCAATTCTGGCCCCAGCCCAGAGGGGCACCCACCTGAGCGCGGAGACTTGCCGGTCCGCACCTCAGCTCCCTGGGGAGAAGGTGTCCGGCTCCAAACTGGCCGCTCAGGGATAGTTCCAACTTGAGGAAGGAAAGGGCCCAGGATCAGCTTGAGGCAAGCAGCATCCCACCCCAGCCCTGGAGTTGCCACCCATTCTGAGCTGCATTCCTGCTGTGGCTCACCTTGTGGGGAAGGCGTATGGGGCCTGCCCCCGCCCAGGGAGAGCTTCCTAGCCAGGGCAGCTCCGTGTTCGGTGTGGGACGGGGGTGATGGACTGGGCCGTGCAAAGCCAAGGGGGCTGGTGCTGCCTGACCTGCGGATGGCGGAGGACCTGGGGACACAGAGCTGAGGTGGTGAGGCCTGGCCATGCCCTGCACAATGCCACAGGGCTCGCGCCATCCCACCCTGCTGGGAAGACAACTTGGAATGGGAAGTCTCAAAGTCCCTGGTGCAACATCAGACTGTGGTCATGCTGGGGGACCCCTGCCCACATAGCTGTTTGTGAGGCTTTGCCATTGCTGGCGTCTGCAAAGCTGGGCCAAGACAGCACTGTCTTATGGATTAGGGCCAACCGCAGCACACTCACCGGGGGGCCTGGAGTTGGGGTGGGGACTGCAGGTTCTGCTCAATGCGCTGGTAGTTGTGCACCTGCGTGGGGACCGGGATGGGCACAGACGCGCCACACCTGCTGCTGGAGAACGGGCCGGCCCGGCTGGGGAGAGGTCGGGTCACTGCAGGCAGCAGTGAGGGCGAGCCAGGCCACAGCCCGTGGGGGCCCCTGCAGCTGCCAGCTTGCAGGGAAAGTATATGCCCCGCTTTCCTGCAGGCACAGGTGGCTCTGGGGTGGCAGCAGTCATGGGACACACAGAAGAGAAGCCAGACAGCGCACCAGGTCCCAGAGTGACGCCGTTGTGCTGCCCCCACCCCCCACTGTCTCCATCCCTCTCATGCCTCCCAGCCTGAGTGAGGGCAAGGCTTCTGGACAGGAACTGCCAGACCCTGATGGGCTAGTTGGCAGCTTACCCTGAGGGGCTGGGGGAGCTGCTGCAGGGCGGGGAGGGAGATGGAGTTCGGCCGCGGCTCTCCGGGCCAGCAGAGGCCGCCAGTGAGCTCCTGGGGGGCAGAGGCACAAGTAAGCTGAGACTTTAGCCAGTCCTGACACCAGGCCCTGCCCGTGCCCATTGGTGGGTCAAGGTGAAAGGGGCACTGAGGCAGGCAAAGGGTCCCCTGTGGGTGAAAAAGGGGCGCTGCAGCAGGCTGAGGGCACAGCAAACCAACCGTCCCAGATAGCAGCCCCCGGGAGGTTACAAGCTCCCCTTCCCACTTGGAGCCACCTACCCGCTGCACATCAGGCTGTCAGGAGGGGGTTTGACCCCTGTCACCTCGGCCACCAGGTCACCTGTGCATGAAAGACACGACTGTCCACGCTTCCCAGGGTCACCTTACCTGGGGGCTCCCTGACAGTCCACACTGGACACTCTAAGGGAAGGGAGCAGCTCCCAGACCAAATCTTCCTGGGTGGGCCGAGGAGCAGGCCCTGAGCCATGTCCCCATGGATTTTGTCCTGGGCAGCCCTTGACCTGCCTATACCTCAAAAGGGCTTGAAGGGAGACTAGAGTTATTCCCTGTGCTCCCGCCTTCAGCCAACTCTAAGTCAGGGAACCAGAGCCCCATTCTGGGCCCACCCCTGGACATCTGGGTCCCAAATGTCCTGTGCAGGGTCAGAAGCCCAGCTGAGGGGATCATCAAAGGTTAACTCCCCTAACAGCAGAGCCAAGGGCCCACAGAAGCATAAGAGCTGGGGGGGGGGGGGTAGGAGAGGGGGGCCAGAGGCGGCGGGGCAGGGGAGGTACCTACTGAGTTGGCAGTAGTCCCCTCGCTCCCAGGTAGCAGGCCTCAGACAGCAGGCAGGACCCAGCCTGGACTCCAGCAGAGCTGCTGCAGAGGGCACCCCCCACCCCAACATACATATATACCACACTGCCACACCTGCAAACGGGGCTGGGACCATGACGAAGTCATCAGTGTCACAGGAATCCTTGCTGCTACCGCCAGAGTCCCGGGAGCCCTGCAGGAGGCCGGCAGCCTCAGCCGGGGAGGTCAGCGTCTTCTGCAGCTGCTGCTGCATCTCCCCTAGGGACTAGGGGTGGAGAGCCGCTAAGGCCTGGTTCAGCACGAGCAGTGTCCCCCAGACCAAGCCTGTACATGCAGGGTCAGTTGTGGGACAGGGTCAACAACCCAGAGATCCCAGGAAGACCCCACTGGGGGCCCCTCATGATGAGAAGGCCCAAGCGGAGGTACTTGGGGTGTCACCTTCAGCGCAGGCAGGTCTCACTCCCCCCACAGCCAGGCCTGTGGGCAGGTCCCTGGGACACAGGAACAGGTGGAGGGGTGGGGACAGGCACAGTGGGGTGCATAAAGGTTGCACCTGCGCCCACAGAACCTGTGTCCCAAGAGAACTGACAGCCAAGTCCAGGGCCAGGCAGGTGACTCACCGGGGGAGAGGCCAGGTGGGAGGTGGAGCTGCTGCTGGAGCTGCTGCCGGAACCGGAGCTAGGGTAGGAGGGCACAGGCACCGGGGGTGCTGCCGGGGACAATGGGCGGTCAGGGCGGAACGCTTCTCCGCAAGGAGATGCCACCCTGCTGGCGAAGGGAACCCAGAAAGGGAAGCCAGCTCCCAGCCCCCAAGGCTGCAACCCCCGCGTCCAGTGCCTGGGAACTCACACTTCTTCACGGCAGCGCTGGCATCAAGGAAAGGGTGCTGGAAAAACTCATCTGCATAGGAAGCAGGGTGAGGCCTGAGGAAGGGGCCCTAGCACCCAGATTTTTGAGGTAAAGGCCACCCCAACCTCCCCGGGAACCTGAGTCTACAGGCCGTACGCCAGGGCATGGCCTGGCCGCAGCACACCGCACGGTGCTGCCTGCCCACAGACAGCAGTTTCCCAGCAGTTCTGTTATGAGACTGGGGTTTTCACAGCCTATGCCACTGAGACAAAGCACCCGGGGAATCCACATGCTACACCCCCAGAGGGCCCTCAGGAGTTGGTGCTGGGGGCAGGGCCAGAGGCAGAGCCAGGGGGGAATACAGAGGGGTGTGGGGAAGAGCCGCTTGAGTGGAGAGCAAGGGGAGCTTGGTCCTGACCTGTAACGCAGGGAACAGACTCTGCACTCACCAAAGCCCATGCGATCTCGGGGGTTTCGCTGCAGCAGGGCCAAGAGCAGCTGTCTCAGTGGGGCAGAGGTCTCCCTCGGGATGCTGGGGACAGAAGACCACCTCAAATTAGTCAGGGCAACCTGGCTGGGTCAGGGTGACCAGACAGATGCCAAGGTGGGGTCAGAGGCACTCACGTGGGGACCAATGTCTTGTTCTTCTCATAGAAAAGGCGGAGATCCTGGGGGCTGCTGGCCTGGGGGAAGACAGGGTGACCGCCCTCCGGGCACTAAGTGTCTATCCATGTGGTGCCCTGTCCCCTGCCATCTCTCAGCCCAAACAGTGTGCCCTCACGCTCCCAAGACACCTCTTGTGGGAGCCCCTCTCCAGAGCCCACATGGGTCTGCCCCAGACACTGGCACAGCCAGGAGCGAGAGCTCAAGACCTGCCAGGCAGCCCTGCTGGGATAGCTGCCCTCCCTCGTGCAGCAAGCAGGGCTACCAGGAGGGACCTGGGGCCACCTGCCAGGCAATGGGTGCGGAGAGCTGTCCAAGTGGGGCAGCCCTGTAGGTTGTGCAGTGTGGCCATAACTCTGGGCTCCCACATACCGCAGCTACCGCCTTCAGACATGAGGAATGGCCCAGAGCTGTGCCCCAGTGTCTTGGCAGGGGGGTCACAGCACTGGAGGAGGCTGGGGTGGGGGGAGGAGACCAGAGACTTCCACGCCACACACCCTGAGCCTGAGGTGGCAAGGCCACTACCTGGAAAGGTGCCTTGCCCGTCAGGCATTGGTACACGATGGTGCCGAGGCTCCACAGGTCTGCCTTGCCGTCGTAGTGCTGTGACATGATGACCTCGGGGGCCTGTGGGTGAAGAGACAGCCATGCTGCACGAGCAGGCTGGGTGGCCCCAGCACGGTGGGAACTGCTGGGCAGGACCCCACAGCCCACCTACCATGTACATGGGGGAGCCACAGAGCGTGGCAGCCATCATGTTGCTGTGCAGGTAGCGGGCGAAGCCAAAGTCAGCTGTGGGAGAGAGCGAGTGAGCAGAAGGCCAAGGCTGCCTGCGCTGGGGAGCCCAGCCCACACCCGGCTCACCGATCTTAACGCGGATGTTGTTGGGATTGGCTCGGCGCCCACCAGGGTTGCTTAGCAGGATGTTCTGGGGCTTCAGGTCACGGTGGATGATGCCCTTGCTGTGCAGCACCCGCATGGCGCCTGCAATCTGCTGCAAGAATAGCCTGATGGTGTCCTCGCTCAGTGTCCGCATGGCTGCAGGGAGACAGCACTCAGGGCCACAGCTCTGCCAGACCTGCCTCCCAGCTCCTGCCCAAACCTCTTGGTGCAACCCCTCACTCGTGACCTAGGACACCCCCTTTCTGTCCTGGGCCCACTAGAGCTGCCAGCACCTCTCTTGCCCCACAGGCAAGCACAACTCAGCTGCCCAGAGAGCCCCTTCTTAGCCCTGCAGGCCAAGATGGATAGAAGTACACTAGGCGACCTCCCAGGCCCTCCCCATGAGCACCTCAGGGGGCATCTGGACAGCTGCCACAGGACCCTGAGTGGCAGGGATGACTTAAAAGTGCTTTGTGCCATGGCTGGCTGCCCTTCAAGGCTATCCTTGCTCACCCCACAGCTCCCCTGACTGGGGTACCTGTAGCTGAATCACCCAGGGCCTGCCGCCAGCACTCTGCTGAAACTGCCCCCGGCACCCAGCCTCACCCCTCAGCCTTCAGATTCTAGCCTGGTGCAGACATCTGTCCCGAGGCCCTCCAGTCAACTTCCCCCCCCTACTCCACCCCTCAGGATGCACACACCACAGCTGTGGGGTAGAGAGAGGACAGCCCGAATTCTGCCCACCTCCCAGCCAAAGAGTTCCCGGCACCACTCACCATGCAGGTAGTCAGCCAGGTCTCCACCATTGCAGTACTGCCAAGACCAGCAATATGTCAGCAGCCCCGTTCCCAGGACCCTCAGACATCCCATCTCCTCCCCTGGGTGGGTACCCCCTTAATCTGTGCTTGAAAGTCGATGGCAGTCTACCAGCCGCGCCACCCTCAGGCACCTCCTGTGGCCACCAGGGACCCCTGGATCAGCCCCCATCCAAGTGAGGCCTATGGGACTCACCTCCATGACCAGGTAGACAGAGTTGGCCATCTCCTGCAGGACACAAAGGACAGTGAAGGAGGGGGGAGTGCCACCTTCCCACAGCCTCTGGGAAGCCAATGTTTGAGCCTCAGAATCTCTAGTATGAAGCACCCACAGATGTCCTCAAGACACACGTAGACAGGACATCAGCTGGCCTCAGACAGGCCAAGTGGTGAGTGTGTGGAGGGGGGTAAGGGGAGGACGGCAAAAGTCCAGGAGAAGACCCACCTCCAGGGTGGTCTCCATGTCTGCACAGGGACAAAGGTCAGTAGGGCTGGCCTTGCCCCAAAGCCTCCTTGGGCTCACTATGTTCTACAAGGAGGGTTCTGGCTGAGCCAGCCCACCTTCAAGAAGGGTTTGCCAGGGTCTGAGAGTCTGACCCCAGCTCCAGAGTCAGAGCCACTGAAAGGAACTCCCCACCCCCACCCCGGGCCTCAGCGCCGTGTGCCCCAGCCAGGCAGGGCTCCTCTGCTCAGCACAGTGGCCATAATGGGCCTCACCCTCTCCACTCTCCTACCTAAAACACCCCAGCTCTATCCTGGAGCTTCCTGGAGAGGGCACATCCTACAGCCAAGAGCAAGGAGCCCTGGGATGGCCACAGAGCAGTGGACTCCAGAGTTCCTTTGGAAGGTAGGCTGAGGGAGCTGGGCGTCAGCCACCAGAGGGGTGATCCGATTGTGATGACCTTCAGACATGTACCCACAACACAGGCTGACCCCTGCACCGGACTGTCAGTCCTGCCCCCAAGAGCCACCCAGCCCTTCTAAGCACAAGGTGGGGCTGGCTAGGGCGGGACAGAGGTAGGCGTGAGTGGTGTCAGCTCCGCCAGCTCTCAGCTGCAGGGAGAGATAGGGGGCCACAGGACTCCATGGCAGACTCCCAGCCATGCCACTGACAGGATGGGCTGGGCCAGCAGCAGGGAGACAGAGAGGACATCATGAGGAGCTCTGACAGACCTTGCCTCAGATAAGAGCTGAGGACATCACAGCAGCCGGGCCTCGTGGTACCCAGGCCAGTGCTCACACCTCAGTCCTCGCCAGTCAGCTTGGCACACCTGTTCTACATGCCAAGCTCCTTTCCACCACCCAGCCAGGCCAGGCTGAAGCCCAGCTCTCTCCTTAACTGCTGGCTGCTGCACGAGGAGAGCTCCAGCTCACCCACTGGGCTGGGAGAGGCAGGGTCAAGGTGACAAGGACACAGAAGCAAAACACTGAAATACTCTATCAGGACCAACAGGAACATCTGCCCACCTCTCCCCACGTATGCCCTCAGACTCCACAACCTCCCCCAGGGGAGGCACCTACAGAAATGACAAGACTCTTCCATGACAAGATCACAGAAGACCCATGCCAGGGCCCTGCTCACCTGCCCCCAGCCTCCAGTCCACGAGCCTCTGCCTGCCACCCTGCCCATGTGCACAACCCCCGCCCCACCCCATCCCTGTGCCTCACTGCCTGGAATACCCCCAATCCTCAACAACCCTGCAGGTCACTTCCCCAGGCCACCCCAGAGCCTGCCTGGGCCTCCCAACCTGTGGAGTGCACAGGAGCTAGGCTGGGTGGCTGGCCCCCATCTTGGAGAGAAAGGGCTGCCTCTCAGGAAGGAGGCCTATGTGCTCCAGCAGCAGTTATTTCAGAGGAGCAAATGGCATGGAAGCTCCTATGTCAAAACCAACGACAGGCCAGGTCGCAGCAGCCCCACCATCTGCCCGAGTTGGGGGGTGGAGTGCCAGGGTAGGTGGAGGCCCAGATGCCCTCCCTGGAGAAGGTGGTTCTGCACCTCTGCCCCTACGCAGGGCTGTCGCCCACCCAGATCTGAGCAAATGGGCCCTATTTCCAGGGATGCAGGCACCAAACCACTACTCTGGTTGGTCTAGAGTCAGCCCAGACACTGGAGATCTGCAAGTGTCCTCAGGGAGGGGTTGGATGGGAGCTTAGCTAGGTACACTCCAGTGAGAGTCCTCCCTATGCCATCCACACAGGTGCCAACCCAAAAAGGCAGAGCCAGACCGGGGGCCTCCACATCAGCCCCACTACACTCCAGCATGAAGCCAACCAGACTCTGCAGTGGGTAGTGGGGCACAAAGGGTGCAGAGGGGCCAAGCAGGGCTGGGGACCAGAGCCCCGGCCTCTGCTCCACAGGACCCCAAGAAGGAAAGGGGTAACAAACTCCAACCTGTGCACTGAGGTACACAGGCAGCAGAGAAGTGCAGGGTGTGGGAGGCCCTGGGCCAGGGCAGCCCAGCACAAGCAGCAGAGCACATAGGAGCTGCCCACCTATAGCTGAGGTACTTGCTTAAGGTGGGTCAGCAGCCCCACTGCCATCCAGCCCCCTCCTGCCTGCTGGCCAGGCAGGCAAAGACCCAGGTCCCTGCTGGTGAGCTATGTCTTGGCCCAGAAGGTGGCAAAGCCACAGCCAGGCTGGGCCAGAGCTACCATGATGGGCTAGGCCCCCTGACATTCCTGCAGGGGAATGCCAGCCTACCCTAGTTGGGAGCTGTCCTGACTCAGGAAGAGTAGGGGACACCCTCAGGTGGGAAGTATGAGCAGCTGCAACACCCACCTCTTGGGGACACCCAGGTCCCAGGCACCCTGAGACACACAGTGTTATGCTGACACACAGGTGCCCACATGCAGGCCAGGGGCCTGCATAGGAGCACAGGGCACATGGGGAGATCCACTGCTGTGATGTCTGAAGCCAGGTGAGACCAGGTGTCTAGGTCCTAGCTTGGGTGACCAAGTGAGAAGTCCACCATACGGCAGGACTGAATCCTGTGCCTGGGCTTCTAGGGACACCAAATTCTTTCCATGAACTGGCCATGTCCATTGCTGGTATGAGACCCATAGTAAGCACCCCTTTGTTAAAGAAGGGTACCCACCCAAAACAACAGGACTACCCTAGGGCCTCGGGGGAGAGGGAGTGGGTTCAAGCCTGTTAGCCATCACAGGAGACCAAGGGAGCCCAGTCCTGACAGCAGAGGTGGCCCTAGCAGCTGTCACTCAGGACACTGCTATGGGCAGGGCTGGCACACTGAGTCACATCCAGTTGGAGGAACCGGCCAGACAGCATGCTGGCCTCTGCAGGGGAGGGGGACTGTTAGCCTGGCTGCGCAGCTGTCCCCTCCTCTTAGGGCTGTGCCAGAGCCCACTCTTCTCACCCCACAGGGGCCAGGAGCCCAGCTGCCTCCAGCCTAGGGTGTCAGAACAGAGCACTGCACGAGGCCTCACAACCTCACACCAACCTGACAGACACTCCTACTCCATGCAGCCCAAGAGCAGGCGCAGAGCAGGCCCCCCAGCAGAAGGATCCCAGGCGCATCAGCACTCTGAGACACGGGCCCCACGAAACAATGCATTGCAGCATGTAGTGTCCAGGCACACACACAATGGCCCTGTAGCAGCTGCACAATGACGCAAAGGTGCCAGTGATATCCCCACAGAAATGGGTGGGGAGAGGCAGGTTCACACCACCATCAGCCTCAGCAGGAAGACAAGGCAGTGCCCAAGACAAGACGTGCAGGGTAGCACAGCCAGGGGTTGGAGGCACACTGAGCTCTGTGCAGTGCTGGCCAGCCCTATCTGGGGCTCTGCACCAACACTGACGGCAGGCAAGGGGTCTGGCTTCAGAGGCCAGGATCATCCACTGTGTGTGGAGCGGTGACCCCCAGGGGCCTGGGGTTCCTTGTTCAGAGCACAATACAGCAAGAAGCAGCCACAGCAGAGGCCTCCTACAAGCCCCCCCACCCCACCCCACCCTCCACTGAGCGAAGCCACTGGCCCCAGACCAGGTGGTTGGCCCAGAGGCCATCAGCCCAGGTCCTGGTTCTACCGGCCAGCCTGAAAGGCACCTCCTGCAAGTCCCCTCACCCAGTCCGTCTCATTTGCTGCACAACCACATCCCATGCCAGGCGTCCCAGGTCCTGAAGTCTGGGGAGAACCCAAGGACCCGGGAACAGCTGTCTGGCGGGCCTGGCTCCCAGCACTTCCTCCCCTGAAGGAAGCCATAGCAGGAAGTAGCCCTGCCCACAACCAGGTATGTGATCCAAAGAGATGAGGCAAAGGACAGAGAACAGAGACAGGAAGAGCTCGGGAGGAGAGCTAGGGAGGAGAGCTGGGGAGAAGAGGAGACTGCCCTTCTGTCCCCAGGGCTTCCAGGTACTAGCTGTCACCCTGGACCTCCCTATCACGTCAGCCCCATCATGCCTCAGTCCCCAAGGCCACAGCCCAGCTCTTCAGAGGGAGGGAGGAGGCCACCAAAACACAGTCAGCCAGACCGGGAACTTCCCCTCAGCCAGGGGCTGGTCCCGTGAACTCTGTAAACAGGTTTCAAAACCATTAGTCAGCACTCTGGCCCGCGCGGATCAGCTGCCTCAGGTTCCCAGGCCCCTGACTGGGCAAGCAGGGCCACAGACCCTTGCGGCCCGGCCTGAGGTTGGCAGGGGAAGTGGCCAGGGCCTCAGAGGCCGGCTGGATGTGGGACAGCAAGTTGCTGCTCTGCTGCCCGCCTGCCTGCCTGCCTGCAGCCAGCCCCCAACCGCCAGCAAGAAGGAATCTCCTGTGGCCCTCCCCTCCCCTCCCCCACTCTGACGCAGGGAGACGCTGGCCAATGCCAGGCCACTGGAGCCATGTCAACAAACAAGCGGGCGGCCTGGACAGGTGGGCCCCGGTCAGCGTTGCTGCCCGTGCACTGGGGACAGGGCTGAGGTCAGGGCCACTAAGTCAGACACTACCCGCAGGACCATACTATGGCCAGACCCTACAGAACCCACCAGGGATGCTTGTGGCTGGTCACCCTCCTCAGGCACACACAGAAGGTGGGAGCTCTCCCACACAGCCAAAGAAAGTCCAGGCCCTGGAACTGGGCCCCCTCAAGCCAGACACACCTGTGCGTACACTGACAACCCAGCTCTTTCCTCGACACTGGAGGCTGGCTGGCTGGCCTGGAGGCCACTCTCCAAGGCCATCTGTCCATCACCCCACACCCCTGCTTCCCCCACCCCCAAACTGTAGGCTCACCTGGAAGTCATACAGAGCCACGATGTTTTCATGTTTCAGTTCCTAAGACAGAAATGGAGTCCCGTGAGCCAGCCGGTCTCCCTTGTCCTCTCCCCTTCCTTTCCCCACTCCCCAGCTGCCAGCTCACCTTGAGGATCTTGATTTCCTTCCCCAAGAGCGTCTGGGACTTGGCGAGGTTCTTCTTGTTAATGCACTTGACGGCGACCTCCAGGTCATGCTTCTGAAACCCAAGTGTGCATGTCCCTCAGGGCCCCCAGGCTAGGTAAGCATCTGCTGCCTGGAGGTGGGGATCCCCCTCAGCAGGGGTGTGGGGTTTTGGGGCGACCAGGGAGACCCAGTGAGGATGACCCTGGAAGAAGGGGAGGTGTTCCTGGGCAAGGATCTCTAGGTGAGAGTGTGGGGGGCAGGGTAAGGGTTCCCCAGAAAGGTTTAATGGGATGGAATGGGGGAGGGTCCCTGGCAAGTGTCCCCAGATGAAGAGTTCCCAAGTGGGTTCCTGGGCTGAGGGTCCATGAGGTGGGATTCCTTAGCATTAAGTCCAGTGATGAGAGTGGCCGGTGGAAATCTTTGTAGAGCGGCAAGGGCTGGGGTCCGGGCTGGGGTCCCGGCTGGAGTCCCGGGCGGGGGCGGGGCGGGGCTCCCACAGTGATCCCGGCGGGGGTGCGGAATCGGGGCGTCGGTCCCCGACTGGGGTCCCGTGCGGGGGTCCCGCGGCGGCCCCCCGCTCACCTCCCGGTGGCGCCCCTTGAAGACCACGGCGAAGGCACCGTGCCCGATCAGGTCCTTGCGCGAGAACTCGAAGCTGCCCACGGCCTCCAG